TCATGCACTGAAGAGGAATGTTTAGGTCAAATAATTAGCAGCAGAAGTAACAACCCAGCCTCTTGTACAGTATGGCAGGTAAAACGAACGACAGATTAAATGGTTACTGAGATTATTATTTTTTAACTACAGCATTTAACCAATATAACTATCAAACTAAGCATTTGTGAGAAGCGCTGGGCCTTTCTTCAGCTTCGCTTCCTGGCTCTCCCTGCTGTTGGGAACAGTGGCCGCCTTCAAGGTCAACACGTTATCAGTAAATATTGCTGTTAAAAGCTCCCCTTTGGTGCCTTTTTTATACATAGATAAGAAAAAAAAAAGAAGATAGATTGAAAATACCTATAAGAAACATTTCCTAAGTTGTGCAAAACAAATACGCAGTGCTAGACTTAGGCCTCAAATGAACATTCACTTACAATTATGCATCAGAAGTTGAAACATCGAAGCCTAGTGACAGTTACGGACCTAAAAACACATCACTATGGTGTTAGTCTATTTAAAAATCGGCACAACTGTACTCAGACAAGACTCACCGACTAGAGGTTCCCAATTACAGAGGTCATTGTTTGGGTCTGGGCTTGGTGTAACTTCAAACTTCTGTAAGACTAGGCACTGCTCATGGTATCTGCAGAATTTTTAGGGATACACATGACTTGAAACTCCATAAAACAATTAAATGATTTATGCAGCAACAGTTTAAGCAGTCTTGTGCCCATCCTCTACTTGAACCTAACTACAATTGAGAAGACTTTAAAATACAGTATAGAAATGTTCTGATGCAGAGCAGGGGGGGAAAAAAAAAAGCCAAACCCCAGAACACACACACGCACACACACAAATCAATTCTGCAACCTGTGTTGTTCCTGGTATTTTCATTTTTTATCATACCTCTACCTTGCTCTCTGTTTCTCTGTAGACTCAAATTTTTCAGAGCAAAGATCACATCTTTTTACTTATCTGGAAAGCGTCTATAGCTTATCTCTGGACACTACCACACATTATTACTCAAGTTAAATGCCAGTCCCCAAGGAAGTGTTGCTTTCCTGCTACCCCATGGAAGTTTTCCAGAATCACAATGTTTATACTTTACATTGTCCAGGTACAACACTGGCAACAAATTATCTTTAATAGATTTTTTTTTTTTTCCCTGCAAGTACAATTTCAAAGGACCACCCTACCACTGTGGTGCCAATGCAAGACTGGTGTTCAAGAGTTACTAATAAAGTAAATTTAAGTACATACAGACTTGAAGTGCTGAGCTACCTCAATTCATAACTGGCTTTAAACTTAAAACGAACAAGCAAAAACCCATGTGATTTCCCTACTTGCCCACACCATTTCATTTTGCAGTGCCTGCAGGAAAGGAGTACCCGCAAGTGAAAGCAACAGCAAGGGAAAGCAGAAGCAAGCTGCATCCAATTTAGAGTCAAAATTCTTACTTACAACATAGTAATTGATGCTGTATATAAAAATAGTGACTCAAAATCATTTGTATTCAAGAAGAGATAGGGAGATAATAAAGTAGCCACCAGCTCCAAATGCTCTTTGCAGTCCTTCAGAAGAGTTAGCCACAAGATGCAAAAGTTCAACAACTTTTTCCAGCAGTGCAGATACCATCATTATCCACCCAGGAGAAGTTTAATTGAGTAGAAGGTACTTGACTAAGTGCCAGATGCATGAAGCCTGGAAATACTGGGACTTTAATACCGCTCCTTAACAATTTTAAGAAACTGGCTTCAACAACCAGACTCAGTCTGAAGGCAGACTTCTACTGACAAGTGGAATAGAAACTGTGGACAGGTGTTGGATTTTATTAAGTTCAGTGTTTTAAGAGCACATATATTCACCAGAAACTAACAGACATAATAAATTAATGCAAAGACCACTGAATCGAGGAAAACCTTTCCAACACTAAATCTCATTCTGATGAGGAACCTTTCACCAGACTTCCATATTACCAACAATAAGCAAAGATATCCAGTAAAAAAAAAAAAAAAATATTTATTACAGTTTTACAAGTTTTTGATTTAAATCTACTAGGAGAGTTCTCCAGTTGCTACCTAGTAGAGCAATATAACACACTAGCCACTGAATATTTACAACTCTTTCCCTGAAAGGGCTATTAAATACAGCTAGATAGCAGACTGCTAGATCTATTCCTGACATGTGCCAAAAGGTTTTCTGCCACTAACAGCCTGCTGGACTTTGGCACTTAATTTTCCTGTAGACCAGTGCCTGACAACTGAGGGTAAGACAAGTCAAACCTTTCACAACACCGTAGGACTGTACAGATTTATTTTTTTTTATTTTTAGAAATGGTTGCTTACAAATTTACTTAGCACCAGAAGCCTTAGAAGCTATTCTGTTAAAGATACGACACTTTCCTTACCTGCAGCAAGACTCCAGTGCTGGCAAGTAAATCACCAGCAGAACGTACACCCAAGTGTCACCCTGAGCAGCACAGACACATCACCACTGTATTTCAGAACACAGGCACTGTCATTCAAGATCAGACCACTAGTCCATTAAGTCCAACATCCTGCCTTGCAAAAGGCCAAAGCCTGATGCCTTAGAGCAGGCTATACCCAGTCCTATTAATCCACCTTTCAGACCCGAGACAATGCCTTAAGACTGGAACTTTGAGCTTTATTTACCCTTAACCTTTGCATGCAGGAAAACACTACTGGTCAAAAAAAGAGCTATGGAAAACAAGTGTTTCCCTAATCACTGTGTCAAACCTCCTTACTTAGCAAAGTACTCCCAGTTTCCATTTATTTTTTGAAATTCTCGTGTATTAGAGGTGTTACTTATATACGAAGGATGTCAATATCAATGTATGTATGTTTTATAACCGCAATTAATTCCATATTTATTATTCCAAGAGATCCAAAATACCTAGGATCCACACCCTAGATGAGGTTTACTGGCCATAGAGGTACAACCAGTTAAAGTATCGTGAGAATGGAAAAGTTGCAGCGCATTCAACGAATATCTTATGAACCCTTTTACCTTTTCTATGAAGACAATTTCAACCACAAGTTCACTCTCCGAGTGCTTTCCAGAGAAAAGTAAAAAAGAATACGCTCCTTCCCCCCTCAGTAAACTTTCAGATAGATGGCAAGTTCTCCATGCCACAGATTTACAAAGTTACCACGATTCAACCCCATAGTTAAAGACTCCCCTGCACCTCCACGCTCCAGGTCCAACGCTGTTTAACCAGACACAAACACCACGACCTACCTCCTTTGCTGTTTGGGGAGAACACAGCCCGCTTAGCTAAACGGCCCGCGGTTTCCTCCTCCTCCTCCCCACGGCCAGAAATCAGCCCTCTCGGGGCGGGGAGGGGACACACACCCACACACACACACACCAGAGGGAAAGGGACGCGGGGAGAGCAGTCAGCTCCCAGGCGAGAGGAGGAGAAGGGCGTGTGTTCAGCGCCGTTCCCACCAGAGGGGGCGGCTCCTCCCAACTCCTCCCCTAAACGTGGTTCAACTCGCATGCACAGCCCCTCTCCTCCAGACCCTCGCTGGTCACAGCACATTGCATGCGTGTCCCCTCCCCCAACCCGCACGGCGTGCTCTGCTCAGCCCCCCCCTTCTCCCCCCCACC